ATTCAAGACCAACTTGAATATTTTCATTTTTACAGCCAGTTCCCAAAAGCTTCTCATAATTAAGAATGAAAACAAGTGCTCCAGTATGAACATGTCTAATTATTGGGCATTTATTTTGATCAGCTTTGTTTCTGAAGTTGTTGTATCTCTGGATTTAGAATTTTGCATTAATTCACTTCATTATAACAAATGCTTTATATAGGAAATAAGTTTGTGAGGATTCTGAAACAGAATAAGACAGGGGCTAGGTATCCAGAACATATGTCTTAAGCGTGTCTTGTTAACATTTAAACTGCCATTTATTTTACTATCAAAAATGGGTTTATTCAGGAAAAGCAGAGAACTGCAAGTAGGGACAAGCAAACTAAGGCAAAGCCGTAGACAAGTCTGGAGAACACAGGAGAGGAATGCTCTCTTATAGAGGAAAGGAGTGGGGGAAATTGGGAGGGCTGTTACAAACAAAAAGTCCATCGGAGTAAACTGGGAGTTCAGAGTATAGTGCCTATTCATTGGCTGAGTTGTGACAGTCTCTCATTGGCTGGGCTATTGTCAGGGCAGGAGAAAACCTTTCTTCCTCCTGCTGGGATAATAAAGTAGTAGCTAAAGTAGTGTCCACTTGGAAGGTACAACAGGTGCTTTTCTTGTTGGGTCTGCAGTTGACCCAGTGGTAGAGTGTGAGAGCTCTCCCTGCCGAACGAGGTTTCCTTTTATTAATTTTCAGTCTTTAAGTCACATATAATATGTAGTCCTAGAAAATAAGAGTTACAATTATTATACGCTAAATATTGATGATGTTGATTTCAAGACTGAAATATCATTAGTGAATTATTATAAGGCTTTACAAAAGGCACCGAATTTCATTCTTAGAGTCTCCCCACAGTACAACTTATTCTTTCTTCTTAGAACTATAATGCATCCAATAACCACACTAAAAGATCTATCACATCTTTATTCATAGTAGTTGTTTTATAGTGCAATAATTGAGAAGAAAAGCACTAGCTTTTCAGTAATCCCATAAAATTATTTTCATTTTGTAGGACATGTGCTTGCCTATTGCCCAAACTGCCAGTTCTTCCCAAGAGCATTTTAAGACCTGGTCACTTATGAGGCACCTGGGTGGCTCAGTTGGTTAAGCATCTGCCTTTGGCTGAGCTCATGATCCTGGGGTCCTGAGATGGAGTCCCTCATTTGGCTCCCTGCTCAGCGGGGAGCCTGCTTCTGCCTCTCCCAATGCCCTCTCCCCCAACTCATGCTCTCTCTCTCTCTCGTATGCTCTCTTGCTCTCTCTCAAATAAATAAATAAAATCTTAAAAAAAAAAAAAAGACCTAGTCACTCTTGGGGCACATGGTTGGCTCAGTCAGTTAAGCGTCCAACTCTTGATCTCAGCTCAGGTCTTGATCTCAGAGTCCTGAGTTCAAACCCTGTGTTGGGCTCCATGCTAAGCAAGGAGCCTACTTTAAAAAATAAAAAATAAAATAAATAAATAAAAAGAAAGAAAAAGACCTAGCCACTCTATTTGGGTATGAATGCAGCTGTATTTGCTCTTGGTAGTTAGTCTGTAAGATAGTTCAAGAATCTACAAGTGTGCTTAAAAATAGAAATGATATCTTCCTAATCAAATGAAAACTTTACATTTTGTGAACATGGGGGTCAGAAGGTTGTTAATATGATCAGAAGGGTTATGAACTCCTAAGGAAATAGTTATTGTTTTTAAAAATAATCATTGCATATTGACATCTTTTATTCTCATTTTGGTTTGTATTTTCTCTGTTTATTTCAGATGTATCCCAAGTACCTAGACCACTGTTCTTTAAATGGGTTTTAAATTTAGACATTTCTTGTTTATTTCTTTTAACTGAAGTATAGTTGACACAGAAGTTTATTTTATTAAATGTTGTTTTGCCATCCTGTGAGATGATCATATAGGTTTTCGTCTTTCACTTGTTATGATTACAGAAGTAATAGATTTTCTAATGACAGTTGTTCAAAGAACCAAAATCCTCTTTACCTAAAAGAAACTTATTGAAGGATATTTGGTAGCTCACAGAATCTCCTCAGAGGCCAGAAAGACAACCTGGAAGCCACACAATTTGGAACAATGCCCAAATCACACAACTGGACCATCCCAGTGGAGAGACCACTGCTGCAGAGCAGACACCCAGTTTGCACTGCTGACGCAGGGCTGCAGACACCACCCCTAGAACATTTGCTCTACTGCCTCTGGAACTGGATGCCTCTGCTGTCATCCTTACCATTTCCAGCCATTAGCTTCTGAATTAAAGACTTGTGCATGTGCATCTGGTTGGCTAACCAAGGGACACTGGCAAGTGAGTTTCTGGCTTCTATCTTGAAGACACACAGATGCATAAAGTGAAGAATTTCCTAGACATAGGGTGTTTAAAGTTGCTGTGTTGCCAAAAAGAATGACAGATCAAGGAACCTTTAGATTTGTTTAATAATAAAGATACCTGTTAGCCTGCCTAATTAGGCAGAGTTCAGTGAACTTAATGCTGAATTATAACTTTAAAATGAAATGGAACGTGGCTGTGTAGATAAATAAGTACATAAAGAAAATGGACATCTCCAAGTATGTATCTAAAACACATATAACACTATGGGTCTGTGTACGGTTGTGGGGAGTGAGGAATGGGGAGTAGTTAAGGCTGAAACACAAGTTTGGGGCAGCTGGATGATAATGATACTCTTCACTGAGATAAGTAACAGGAGATGGAGATGTATACGTGTGTGTTTGTGGAGGGGGAGTTAGAAGACATTTTGAAGTTCCTGTGGGACATCCAATTAAAGAAGTCTAGAAGGAAGTTAGATATCAAGGTCTGAGACAGATCCAGGTTAAAGATACATGGTGAGTTGTCACCATGTATATGGTCATTAAAGTCAAGGGCTTGGTTGAGATCATCCAGCCGATATGTGACAAGAGAAGAAAAAGAAGGTAACTAGAGAAAACCCTTGAGGAACACAAATATTTAAGGAATGGTCACAAAAAGAGGGGCCAGAGTAGAGGTTATGTTGCAGGAAGGCAAGATGGTATAGACCAATGAGGAGGCAGAGGTGGGATGGTGGCTCAGAATAGTGGTGGCAACAGAGAGAGAAGAGATCTTTAGGAAGATTTAGTGATGGAGCGGGTGTGAGAGATGACACAGAGGAAGTAAATGATGATACCTATTTTGCTGACTTGAACATCCAAGAGGTTGGAGGTGTGGTTTCTTGAGTTAGGGAACGTTGGGAGAAGCAGGTTTGGAAAGGGAGATAAAGTCAGAATTGAGGAGGTTGATTTAGATGGCTTTGAAATATCCAAGTAGATTTTTATTTCATTTGGTAAATATTTATCAATTACCTACTTCATACTGAATGTTCATCAAGTAGATAGTGGGGTCTAGAACTCTAGGCCTGGCTAGAGGTCTTGGCTGCCAAAGTGCTTTTAAGAGTTGCCAGCATTTGGGGATGCCTGGGTGGCTCAGTCAGTTAAGCATCTGCCTTCAGCTCAGGTCATAATCCCAGGGTCCTGGGATCGAGTCCCACATCAGGCTCCTTGCTCAGCGGGGAGCCTGCTTCTCCCTCTGCCTGCCACTCCCCCTGCTTGTGCGCTGTCTCTTTCTCTAACAAATAAATAAATAAAATCTTTAAAAAAAAAAGAGCTTCCAGCATTTGGATGGCATTTGAGGCTGTCAGCATAGATGGGATCGTATAGAGAGAGTGAGAAGAGAGCCTGGGATCCAACCCAGGGAACCCCAACATTGATGGGTAGAGAAAGAGCTTGAGAGTGATCAGAGAGGTAGGGAAAAAACTGGATTACTATGATAGCCAGACTCTAGGAGTAGAGTTTTGAGGAAAACCATGTGGTTATTGGGGCCAAATAATACCAAGAAGTGAAGCATAAAAATGATTGAAAACTTTCCATTGGATTTATGAGCAAGGAAGTCATTAGTTATCTTAATGAGGATGAATTTCTAGAATTGGGAGTGTTAGATCAAAGGATGTTTGATAAATACTGCCAAATTGTTCTCCAAAGAAGTTTTTACTAATTTATACTCTTTCCATCAGTATAGGCGGGTCCTGTTTCCTCACACTCTCATTAATAATGGGTATTATAAGTCTTAATCTTTATACAATGGATAGAAGAAAATAGTATCTTATTACCTGAATGTCCATTTCTTTGATAATTTGTGAGGCATTTATTTTTCTTCTAGGAATTACTTAGATCATTTTTCACTTGTCCATTTTTTTTTTTAAGATTTTTTATTTATTTGACAAAGATAGACACAGCGAGAGAGGGAACACAAGCAGGGGCAGTGGGAGAAGGAGAAGCAGACTCCCCGCTGAGCAGGGAGCCCAATGTGGGACTCGATCCCAGGACCCTGGGATCATGACCTGAGCCAAAGGCAGACGCTTAACGACTGAGCCACCCAGGCACCCTCACTTGTCCATTTTTAAAAGATTTTGTTTATTTATTTACTTATTTATTTAGAGAGTGGGTGAAGGGACAGAGGGAGAGAGAGAATCTCAAGCAGACTCAGCACTGAGTGCAGAGCCCGACAGGGGGCTTGATCCCACAACCCTGAGATCATGACCTGAGCAAAAATCAAGACTCCGATACCCAACCGACTGAGCCACCCAGGCACCCCTCACTTGTCCATTTTTAACTGGGGCATTTTATCTTCTAATTGCTTTTTTTAAATTTATTTTTTATTATGTTCAATTAGCCAATATCTAATACATCATTAGCTTTTGATGTAGTGTTCAACAATTCATTAGTTGCATATGCTTTTAAGAGCTCTTTGTATTATTAGGGTTAGTGAACCTCTGCATAAGATAATATGTATCTTTTAAAATATTTTAATTCTTTAATTACTCTTACAGCTTAGGGCAGAACTCTGAAGTCTCCTCTATTCTACCTTTTTCAGTGTTTCTAAGTTTACCCTTTGTACCACAAACATTGGTGTAGATGATTAAGAGGAACTACTGTTCATTGGTCTTTTAGGAACCTGTTACATTCAAGGATGTGGCCATGGACTTCACCGAGGAGGAGTGGGGGCAACTAGACCCTGTACAAAGGGCCCTGTACAAAGAGGTGATGCTGGAGATCTATGGCAACCTGGTCTTAGTGGGTAAGGACAACTACTCTTTGGAGGATTTTTGTTTCATGGTTGTTAAAACCTGTGGGCTCTTAAAGTATTTAACTAAGCAAGGGCTTGAGATTCAAATATCAGAGTGTCCAAATCACTGTTTTTAAAAATTTGATTATTGAAGTATAGTTGACATAAAATGTTATATTAGTTTCAGGTGTACAACATGGTGATTTGACAGTTCTATACATTACACAACACTCACCGTGATAAATGTACTTACCATCTGTTGCCATGCAATGTTATTACAATATCATTGACTATCCCTATTCTTTAGTATTCATCTCCATGATTTATGTTTTTTATAACAGGAAGTTTGGACCTCTTAATCCCCTTCGCCTACTTTGCCCCTCCCCCCTTCCCTCTGGCAACTACCAGTTTGTTCTGTGTTTATGAAAGTGTTTTCTGTTATTGTTGTTGCTGCTTAATTTTTTTTTTTTTTAGATTCCACATGTAAGTGAAATCATATAGTATTTGTCTTTCTTTGTCTGACTTATTTCACTTAGCATAATACTCTAAGTCCATCCATTCTACTGCAGATTTTCAGATCTTATTTTTTATGGCTGAGTAATATTCCAGTGTGTGTGTGTGTGTGTGTGTGTGTGTGTGTGTGTGTGTGTACTTCATCTTCCTTATCCATTCGTCTATCAGTGGACATTTGGATTGCTTCCATTATCTTGGCTATTGTAAATAATGCTGCAATGAACATAGGGCTGTGTATATCTTTTTGAATAATATTTTTGTTTAAATACCCAGTAGTGGAATTACTGGATCATATAGTAATATTTTTGTTTTTAAATTTTTGAGGAATCTCTGTACTGTTTTCCACAGTGGTTGCAACCAGTTTGCATTCCTACCAACAGGGCATAAGGGTTCCCTTTCCCCCACATTCTTTTTTTTTTTTTTTAAAGATTTTATTTATTTATTTGACAGAGAGAGACATAGTGAGAGAGAGAACACAAGCAGGGGGAGTGGGAGAGGGAGAAGCAGGCTTCCCATGGAGCAGGGAGCCCGAGGTGGGGCTTGATCCCAGGACCTGGGGACCATGACCTGAGCCGAAGGCAGCCGCTTAATGACTGAGCCACCCAGGTGCCCCTCCCCCACATTCTTGCCAACACTTGTTATTTCTTCTCTGATACTAGCCATTCTGACAGGTGTGAGGTGATAGCTCATTTTGGTTTTGAATTGCATTTCCCTGATGAGTGATGTTGAGCATCTTTTCATGTGTCTGTTGGCCATCTGTATGTCTTCTTTGGAACAATGTCTAATTAGGTCCTCTGTCCATTTTTTAATCAGATTTTTTGTTTTTTTGGTGTTGAGTTCTATAAATTCTTTATATATTTTGGATATTAGCCCCTTATCAGATATGTCATTTGCAAATACCTTCTCCCATTCAGTAGGTTGCCTTTTTGTTTTGTTGATGGCTTTCCTTGCTGTGTAAAAGCTTTTTATTTTGGTATAGTCCCAATAGTTTATTTTTGCTTTTGTTTCCCTTGCCTCAGGAGACATATCCATAAGTACGTTGCTAAGGCCAAGGTTCAAGAAATTACTGCCTGTGTTTTCTTTTAGGACTTTTATGGTTTCAGGTCTCATATTTAGGTCTTTAATCCATTTTCAGTTTATCTTTGTGTATGGTAAAAGAAAGTGGTCCAGTTTCATTCTTTTGCATGTAGCTGTCCAGTTTTCCCAGCACCATTTATTGAAAAGATTGTCCTTTCCCCATTGTATACTCTTGCCTCCTTTGTGATAGACTGACCATATAGGCGTGGGTTTGTTTCTGGGCTCTCTATCCTGTTCTGTTGATCTGCATGTCTGTTTTTGTGCCAGTACCATACCATTTTGATTACTATAGTTTTGTAGTATATCTTGAAACCTGGGAATGTGATAAATCTAGCTTTGTTCCCAAGATTGCTTTGGCTGTTCAGGGTCTTTTGTGGTTCCATATGAATTTTAGAATTATTTGTTCTGCTCTGAAAAATAATATTGGTATTTTGATAAGGATTTCATTGAATTGGTAAGTTGCTTTGGGTACGATGGACATTTTTTTTTTTTTTAAGATTTTATTTTATTTATTTGAGAGAGAGAATGAGAGAGAGCACATGAGAGAGGGGAGGGTCAGAGGGAGAAGCAGACTCCCTGCCGAGCAGGGAGCCCGATGCGGGACTTGATCCAGGGACTCCAGGATCATGACCTGAGCCGAAGGCAGTCGCCCAACCAACTGAGCCACCCAGGCGCCCGGGTACGATGGACATTTTAACAGTATTAATTCTTCCAATCCATGAACATGCTGTCTTTCCATTTGTTTGTGTTATCTTCGACTTCTTTCATCAATGTCCTATAGTTTTCAAAGTATAGATCTTTCACCTCTTTGGTTAAGTTTATTCCTAGGTATTCTTTTTAGTGCTACTGTAAATGGGATTGTTTTCTTAATTTTCTTTCTGCTACTTCATTATTAGTGTATAGAAATATAACAGATAAAAAAGGAAATGCAACAAATATCTGTATATTAATTTTGTAACCTTCAACTTTACCGAATTCATTTATCAGCTCTAGTAGTTTTTTGTGTTTTTTTTTGGTGGAGTTTTGGATTTTAAACATATAGTACCATGTCATCTGTAAATAGTGACAGTTTTACTTCTTCCTCATCAATTTGGATACCTTTTCTTTTCTTAGTCTGATTGCTGCAGGTAGCACTTCCACTATTATGTTGAATAAAAGTGGGAGGAGTGGACATCCTTGGCTTATTCCTGATCTTAGAAGAAATGCTTTGAGTTTTTCACCATTGAGTATGATGTTAACTGTGGGTTTGTCATTTATGGCCTTTATTATGTTGAGGTATCTTCCCTTTAAACCCACTTTGTTTAGAGTTTTTATCATGAATGTTGTACTTTGTCAAATGCCTTTTCTGCATCTATTGAAATAATCATGTGGTTTTTTGTTTTTTTTAAAGATTTTATTTATTTATTTGACAGAGAGAGACACAGCGAGAGAGGGAACACAAGCAGGGGGAGTGGGAGAGGGAGAAGCAGGCTTCTGCCGAGCAGGGAGCCCGATGCGGGGCTCGATCCCAGGACCCTGGGATCATGACCTGAGCCGAAGGCAGACGCTTAACGACTGAGCCACCCAGGCGCCCCTAATCATGTGGTTTTAATGCTTCCTGTTTTTAATGTGATGTATCACATTGACTGATTTGAGAATATTGAACCACTTCTGCATCCTTGGAATAAATCCCACTTGATCATGGTGAATGATTTTTTTAATGTATTGTTGAATTTGATTTGCTAATATTTTGTTGAGGATTTTTGCACCTGTCTTCATCAGGGATGTTGGCCGTAGTTTTCTTTTTTTTATAGTGTCTTGTTTGCTTTTGTATCAGGGTAGTGCTGGCCTCATAGAATGAATTTGGAGGCTTTCTTTCCTCTTCTATTTTTCGGAATAGTTTAAGAACAGGTATGTTCTTTAAATGTTTGGGAAAATTCACCTGTGAAGCTATGTGGTCCTGGACTTTTGTTTGTTGGGAATTTACCAGTTCAATTTTGTTAATTGAATAGGTAGTAATCAGTCTGTTCAGATTTTCTATTTCTTCCAGATTTAGTTTTGGATGATTGCGTTTCTAGGAATTTATCCATTTCTTCTAGGATGTGCAATTTGTTTGAGTATAATTTTTCATAGTAATGTCTTATAATTCTTCATATTTCTGTGATATCAGTTGTTACCTTTCCTCTTTTGTTTCTGATTTTATTTATTTGAGTTCTCTTTTATTCCCAATGAGTGTGGCTAAAGGTTTCTCAATTTTATCTTTTCAAAGAACCAGTTCTTGATTTCATTAATCTTTTCTATTATTTTTTTATCTGTATCATTTATCTCTACTCTTTATTATTTCCTTCTTTCTACTAACTTTTGGCTTTGTTCTTTTTCTTTTTAAAGATTTTATTTATTTATTTATTTAGAGAGCACACAAGCAGGGAAGGGGCAGAGGGAGAGAGAGAATCCCAAACAGACTCCTTGCTGAGTGGGGAGCCCGTTGCAGGGCTCGATCTCACGACCCTGAGATTATGACCTGAGCTAAAAGCAAGAGTCAAATACTAAACTGACTGAGCTACCCAGGCACCCTAGGCTTTGTTCTTTTTCTAATTCCTTTAGGTGTGTGTAAGGTTAAATTGTTCACTTGAGGTTTTTCTTATTTCTTTCAGTAGGCCTGCATTGCTATAATCTTCCCTCTTAGAACTGCCTTTGCTGTGTTTCAGAGATTTTGGACCATTGTGTTTTCATTTTCATTTGTTTCCAGATATTTTTTTAAATTTCCTCTTTGATTTCTTCATTAACCCCTTGGTTGTTTAGTAGTGTGTTGTCTACTACTCCATGTGTTTGTGTTTTTTCCAGTTTTTTTCCTCATAGTTTTCTAGTTTCATATTGTTTTGGTTGGAAAAGATGCTTGATATGATTTCAATCTTCTTTAAATTTATTGAGACTTATTTTGTGGCCTAACATGTAATCTATCCTTAAGAATGTTCCATGTGCACTTGAAAAGAATGTATATGCTGTTGTTTTTAGATAGAACATTCTGTATCTATCTGTTAGGTCTAGCTGATCTAATGTGTCTTTCAAGCCACTGTTTCCTTTTGATTTTCTGTCTGGATCATCTATACATTGATGTAAGTGGGGTGTTAAAGTCCCCTACTATTATTATTATCAGTTTCTTCCTTTATGTCTCTTAATATTTGTTTTATGTATTTAGGTGCTCCTATGTTGGGTACATAGATATTTACAATTTACAATTGCTATACCCTCTTGTTGGATTGATTCCTCTATCATTATGTAATGCCCTATTTGTCTCTTGCTATAGCCTTTGTTTTAAAGTTTGTTTTGTCTAGGGCATCTGGGTGGCTCAGTCGGTTGAGCATCCAACTCTTGATTTTTGCTCAAGTCATGGTCTCAGTGTCGTGGGATTAAACTCCATGTTGGGCTCTGTGCTCAGCGTG